CCAGCACTGCCAGCACCTTTTATGGGAGCTGGGGATAGGATAATGTGAGGGTGGTGGGCAAAGCATGAGAAATGCCTGCATTGTAATAATAAAATAATAATAGCAACAGTGGGATTCATATGGTTCCATCATTGGAAAATAGTTACTTTAGCATTGAGATAAAACATCTAATTTAGCTTTCTGGAAGTGCTGTGACATAGTGCCCTATGTCGAATTATACATTTTCAGATTCTTCAACAAGACATGTTTTTCACCAGCAAATCGCTGTTCCAATTATATCACAGAATCGTACAGCACAGAAAGAGGCCATTCGGCCCATTGTGTCTGCGCTAGCTCCGAAAAGAGCAATCCAACTCAATCCCACTGGCCCACTGTCTCTCCATAGCCCTGCAATCTTGTCCTCCCCAAATACCCATCTACTTCTCTCTTAAAAGTTGCTATTGAATCGACTTCCACCACCCTTTCAGGTAATGCATTCCAGATCCAAACAACTTGCTGGGTGAAAAACATTTTCCTATCCTCCCCAGTTTCTTTTAACAACTAACTTAAATCGGTGTCCTCGGGTTACTGACCCACATGCCAGTGGAAACAGTTTTTCCCGGTTCAACCTATCAAATCCTCTCATGATCTTGAAAACCTCTATTAAATCCCCTCTTTATCTTCTCTGCTCTAGGGAGAATAATCCTAGTTTTGCTAACCTCTCCTCATAACTAAGGTCCTTCATTCCTGGTACCATCCTGGTAAACCTCCTTTGCACCCTCTCCAATGCCCTAACATCTTTCTTAGAGTGCGGTGCCCGGAACTGAACTCAGTACTCCAACTGAGGCCTAACCAGCATTTTATAAATATTCAACATAACTTCCTGACTTTTGAATTCTATGCCCCTATTTATAAAGCCTAGTATCCCGTACGCTTATTTAACAGCTTTATCCACCTGTCCTGCCACCTTCAGAGATATGCTCATGTGGGCCCCCAGGTCTCTCTGTTCATTTGCCCCAGTTTAAGATTGTACCATCAGCTTATATTGCCTCTCCTCATTCTTCCTACCAAAATGCAACACTTCGCTTTCCTCCACATTAAACCTCATCTGCCACGTTTATGCCCATTTTACCAATCTGTGTAAGTCCTCTTGGAGTCTGGTGCTATCCTCCTCACCATTAACTACTTTTCTTAGCTTAGTATCATCTGCAAATTTGGAAATTGTGCTCCCTATATCCAGTCCAGATAATTAATATAAATCAGAAAGAGCAGTGGTCCCAAAACTGACCCCTGAGGGACAGCACTACACACCTTATGTGGCACTTTGTCAAATACCTTTTGAAAATCTAGATAAACTACATCTACTGCATTACCTTCATCCACCCTCTCAGACACTTCATCAAAAAATTCTGTTAGGTTTGTCAGACACGATCTGCCTCTAACAAATCCATGTTGACTGTCCTTTATTAAACCATATTTTTCTAAGTGAGAATTTATATTGTCCCAGATTATAGTCTCCAGAAGTTTCCCTACTACTGATGTTAGGCTGATTGGCGTATTGCTCTCAGGATTATCCTTCTGCCGCTTCTTGTACATGTGAGTAACATTTGCAACCTTCCAGTCCTCTGGCACCACTCCAGTGTTCAGAGAATTGAAAGATTGTGGCCAGAGCCTCCACTATTTCCACCCTTGCTTTCCTCAATAACCTAGGATGCATCCCGTCCGGACCAGGTGACTTATGTTGAGCACCGACAGCCTTTTTAGTACCTCCTCTCCGTTGATTTTTATCATATCCAATTTCTTTTCACACGCCTGTGATATTGTGGCATTGGTTGCATCGTTTTCTTTTGTGAAGACAGTTGCAAAGTTACTTATTTAGTGTATCAGCCATGCCCTCTACCTCAACAAGAAGATTTCCACTAGGGTCCCTAATTGGACTCACCCTACCTTTGACTAATCTTTTACTCTTGATATGCTTATAAAATACCTTAGAGTTCCCTTTTATGTTTCTTGCTAATCTTTTCTCCTACAATCTCTTCACCCCTCTTATTTCCCTTTTCACTTCTCCTCTTCTCCTATATTCTATTTGTTTATCCTGTGTGTTTTGGACCTGACGTTTGTCATAAGCCTCCTTTTTCTGTTTTATTTTAATCCCAATTTCCTTAGTCATCCAGGGAGGTTTCACTGTCCTACCTTTCCCCTTTGTGGGAATGTACTTGTTCTATCGAACTATCTCCTCCTTGAAGGCTTCCCATTGTTCGTTTGCTGTCTTACCTGCCAATCTTTCTTTCCAATCTATCTTGGCCAGGTCCCCTTTTAGCTCACTGAAATTAGCCCTCTTCCAGTTGACGATCTTTACCTTGATTGATTGTTGTACTTGTGATCACTGTTATCCAGATGCTCTCCTACTGAAACCTGCTCCACTTGCCCCACTTCATTTCCCAGAACTAAATCCAGCACTGTTTCCTTCCTCGTTGGGCTGGAAACATGCTGATCTAGAAAGTTCTTCCTGCACACATTTCAGGAATTCCTCCCCTTCCTTGACTTTACACTGTGTGTTTCCCAGTCTATGTTAGGATAATTGAAGTCCCCCATTATCATTACTCTATTGGTTTTGCATCTCTCCGAAATCTGCTTGCAGATTTGCTCATCTATCTCCTTCCCACTATTTGGAGGTCTATAGTAAATACCTAAGAGTAACAGTTCCTTAACTCTAACCAAATAGATTCAGTTTTTGGACCCTCTAACACATCATCCTTTTCCAAGACCGTGACCTTGTCCCTAATGAGTATTGCCACCCCTCCTCCTTTTTTCCCTTCCCTATCCTTCCTGAATAGGTTGTAGCCAGGAATATTCAGCTCCCATTCCTGTCCTTGCTTGAGCCAAGTCTCCGTAACTACCACTACATCATAGCCCCATGTGGCAACTTGAGCCTGCAGCTCACCAAGTTTATTGGTCACACTACGTACATTTACACACATGCACTCCAAGTCCAGCTTAATCCGCTCTACATTTCTCCCCCGTCTCTTTCCACTTTTTGCTGGACTATTCCTTGTTTCATTTCTATTTGTCTCTCCTCGTTCACTGTGTAACTCATTTCCCCTCTCTGATGCTACATTCTGATCCCCATTCCCCCCTCGAAATCAGTTTAAATGCTTCCCCACAGCATTTGTTATCCTTGTTGCAATGACATTGGTCCCAGCCCTGCTCAGGTGTAACACATCCCTTGTGTACAGGTCCCATCTGACCCAGAAGTCATTCCAGTGGTTTAGAAACCTGAAGCCCTCCTTCCTGCACCATTTCTCCAGATAGGCATTCATGTGTTTGATCCTCCTGGTTTGGTATTCACTTGCATAAGGCATTGGGAGTAATCCCGAGATCACCACCATTGAGGTCCTGCTCTTTAGCTTCTTCCCAAGCTTCTGATATTCTCCCTGTAGGATCTCAGCCCTTTTATCGCCTACATCATGGATTCCGACATGGACCATAACTTCCGGATTTTCCCCTTCCCCCTGTAGTATATTTTGCAACCGTTCCGTGACATCATGCACCCTGGCCAGAGGAGTCCTCACCGGTATCCAGGACCGAAAACCAGTTTGTGAGTGCCACACTCTTAGGGGATTTCTGTACTGCGTGTTCTTTTTTGCTCTACGTCAGATGGTCACCCACTCACCCTTCTTCTGAGCCCTCTGTGGCTGTGGGGTGACCACCTCCTGAAGAGTTCGATCGATAATTTCTTCAGCCTCCCATATCCTATGTAGTGACTGTAGCCTCTCCTCAAGCTCAGCAACCCTGAGCTCAAGCAGCCGGAGGCACTTCCTACATATGTGTTTATCCAGAACACATGAACCATCCTGGAGTTCCCACATGGCACACAGTGTGCATGGAATGGGTCTCAGCTGCCCTGCCAGGTTTTGATATTATGCTGTGATATTAAGTCATTATGTCTTTAAAGGAAAATATGTAATTGAAAAGGTTTGTTATCAGTATATAAACGCAATAAAACATCTTCAACAAATGTGTGCAGTTAAATTTGATTATATATTGTCATCTTATCCCATCTAATGCAAGTTTCGAGCTAATTTGCAAAATACTACTTTTTATGGTTAGGGAGTACTTGAGGTTTTATCCAAATGAATGCAACAGATCGGCACTGACCATAGTGTCACTTTAATGAATGAAGCAGCCAAGTCATAACGGGCTTTTCTTTCTTGCTTTTCATTCTCAGCAGCTTTTCAAGTTTGCAGCACTAATCCTATGGCTTTATTGCAGGAAAGATTTATATGCCATCACATAAAGCTTGAATCTCAGCATGAATCTCTTTAACCTAGGCCTTTTCAGATTTCTGGTTCTCTGGCAAACTCAATAGTAATGAAATCTTAAAATGTTGTATATCCAGGACGTTCAGCCACTGACATTTTTGAGTACAACAACTTGGATTTTTTAGCGCCCTCCACGCCGGACGGCATCTCAGAGGTCTTTACAGTTTAGGATCCTGGGACCGAGCCGGGGGAGGGGTGGGAAGGTGACCAAAGGCACGGTTGAAAAGAAAGGTCTTCAGCAGAGTCCTGAAAATGGGAAGGGAGGGAGCGAGATGAAGGGAGTGAGGAAGGCAGTTCCAGAGCCTTGGGGCATAGTGGCTGAAGGCACGGCCGCCGAGGGTGCAGCGGAGGACTCGGGGGTAAGGAGGAGGCCAGACCCGGAAGAACGAAGGCAACGGGTACTGTGCTGAGAAGAGAGGTCAGAGAGGTAGGGGGTGCAGAGGAGTGCAGGGACTTGAATACGAGGGTGAGTAGTTACCAATCAGTTTCATTGACAAAGTTTCTGCAGTCACAATGTACATTGGAAACATTCTTCTTACATTTCCAGGGTTTAATTTTATAAATATGAACCTGATGTGAAGATAAGCTGACTAAATTTTCAACTATTTGGCTGTATTAAAATGCTAACTGGCAAGTAGAAGTAGTTACCAAGGTAACAATGAGAAAAAATTAAATGTGTCATTAGTAGAAACCACTTGCCTGAGTTTGGTCACATCGGCATCTTTTTGGGTCAACCCTGTCGCTTTGATTGCAAGCTGAGACGACAGCTCATTATTTTTATTGTGCATGTCTTCTACTTCAATTTTGGTTGCTTTGAGGTCAGCCTTCAATAACTGTTATTGACATAGGAGAAAAAAACAAATTGATAAAAAACATCTGCAATGAAGACACAATTACCATATAGAGTACAGGAGTTCAAGATATTTTTCCAGGGGATCCAATGTAACCTGAGACTTGGTCAGACAGCTTTCTCGGTGTGCAATGGTTCAAGGAAACTCTAGAGGGCATCTCAAAGCATTTTACAGGATTCACTGTAAAGTGTAGTGACTTTGTATTTTGTAGGCAAACATGGCAGCCAATTTGTGCCTCACAAAGCCCCAAACAACTATGAAGTGAAGGACCAATTTTATTTGGGAGGAGTGTTGGGCAGAAACTCCCTTCTCTTTTTGAATAATGGCACAAAATCCTTCATGTACACCTGAACAGGCAGATGTTGTCTCAACATCTCATCCAAAGAATGGAACCTCCAACTTTATAGCACACTGCATTAAATTGTCAGCCTAAACTGTGAGATCAAAGTTCAAACGCATTACTAGCAATAGTATATGGCACTAGAGAATGTCTTTTAAGCACTGAAAGTTTAGCATCATTGACATGAGGATGTGAAAAAATATTATGGAGTTTCAGCTGTAGCAAGGTGCAAAATGTCAACACAGGAAAATGCTTTGAGACTTCTGTCCAACTCATGTTGTACACTGGGGACACGAACAGTTCCAAATTCAACTGAAATCAGTCCGAAATGTGTAGTGCAAATTTTTCATCTGGTCAAATTTTGGGTGGAAAAACATAGAGGTAGCATATTAGTCCCTTTTTTAGAAATGTAGAATGTCATGCCGTAAAAAATTTGGTCTAGGTGTCGCATGTAGAAACTATCAGGCTCAAGAGCCAATTGCCTCCTTCCACCCCTCAACACAAAAGTTTAATAAACAATGTCATCAATTATTTTCTTGACTCTGTTGTCAGTTTTCCTTCAGCTCTCCCCATTCGTATGCAGGTAAGACTATCAACCTGCTCACAGAACTCTTCAAATGTCACTGTATCCATAAGAGGCAACGTTTACCTTAGATGAAACATTAGCTTATTAGGTAATCTTTCAGTAACATTTGCTCATCAAATTAACTTTAAAAATTGAATAGAAAAAGCCGGAATCAAATTATTAAAAACAAGAAAGAAATGGATTGGAAACTAAAGGCAAAAAAGATTCAACTGAGAAATAGGTAAAATTAAAACAAAACTAAATGCAGATTTATATATTCTTTAATGTGGATGTTTGCATTCATCACCTCATGACTCGACTGTGGAAACTCCCTCCATGTCGGCCTCCCCAATTCTTGCCTCCACAAGCTGCAGATTATCCAGAACTCTGCAGCTCATGTCCTCTCTCACACCAGGCTCCATGACTCCATCATCCCCACCCTCGCCCGGCTCTACTGGCTCCCCATCCCTCAGAGGATAGAATTCAAAATCCTCATCCTCACTTTCAAGGCCCTCCATGGCCTTGCTCCTCCTACCTCTCTGACCTGCTAACCCCTATCAACTTGTCCGCTCCCTCCGCTCAGCAGACTCCGGTCTGCTCCATGTCTCCCACCCTACCATCGGCGGCTGGGCTTTCAGCATCTCTGCCTCCGCCCTTTTGAACTCCATTCCACAATCCCTTCGCTTTGCTCCCTCTCTGGTCTCCTTCAAGGCATGACTCAAAACCTTCCTTTTTGACTTTGCCTTTAGCAGCCCTCCTATCTCTCTGCCCTCCCTCATCCCAACCCTGCACCCCCACTGGATCCCCGACTGTTCAGTGGCTTGGGACGTCCTCCCGACATGATAGGCGCTTTACAAATGCAATTCTGTTGTTGTTGGTGGTGGTAGGACATTGTGATCACAGAGCCCTTTGAATATATGATTTTAATATACAACAAAGATGTATAGTTTACTCGACCATTTAATCATAATCATCATTTTCCTAACACAAGCTTGCATTTATAATAGCACCCTTTACGTAGGACAACATCTCAGAGCCTGTACAGTGGCAGGATTTGATGCCGAGCAAAGGAAGAAAAGGAGCAGGAGGGTGACCAAAGGTGCACTTAAAAGTTTTTTGTTCAGCCTTCCTCCCTGAAGTCTCCCTGCAGCACCACACATCCCTTACCCTTGCAATGCATATCAAAGCCTCTGTCAGTGTGCTTTGTAACCAGGCATCGGGGTCTGCTCATTTACCAATGGCCCAGTCACATTTCAAAACTTCCTTTGATAAACCCTTTAAACTAAAAACACATTTTTTAAAAAGAATTGAGCATAAGCATACTAGGTGTTTAGATTCCCACCAACATCTACCACATATTAACTGATAAAGATTGGTTTCTCAAAAAAAGAAAATCAAAGTTTAGACCATTTTAAAAATCCAGGAGAAAAGCTTAAATCTTCCGCAAATCTTTACAACTTAAAAATATATCTTCATTATTGTAACGTTTTAATGATAATAGCATTATTTAACATAAAAACAAATATATAATAGCATTATTTAAAACCCCAAATTCTGTGCAAAATGTTGTAGTCAGTTCACAATAATATCATCCCACCCAGAAAATAGTTCAGGAAGGAGAAAGCGTCAAATTCCCCATAAGTAGTGTTTCAAATTGCATTTCCCCACAGCACTGCACAATACTTTGGCACATTTTGTAAAGGATCAGGTCTGTGAATAAACTGTAGAAAGTGGCAATTATTGTAGGTCGAGCTCTCTTCTAACATTAAGTTTTATATATGCTAATTGTGAGAACCCATCCTTCTATTAGAGTTGAATTGCAACATCATTCTTGAAAAAGTTACTTTATTACACATTACTACAACTCAAAGGTCTCTATTGTCTTACAAGTAATAATAATGTACCAAGATGAAATGATAATGGGATCATGTTATATTAAGAATGTGACATACGCTGTTTCTAATATAATATTTTTAGTTGGTTTTCCACTTTGCAGTATTAATTTTTTAAAAGCAATGGATTTTAAGTGAATGAATTTAAATGAACACAAGACCCATGGGGTGCATTCCACTATGTGACTTGTTATTAAAGAAAATTCCATGAAGCCACTGCAGATGAAAGCATCTTCGGAAATCCTACCCAAGAGCCCTTTCTCATACCTTTACTTTGGAGTCAATGCCAGACTTTTCTTCCTTCCACTGGGCTGCCTGTTTCTTTAGCTTCTCCAGGTCATTTAGCAGGTCAGAGCAGCGTGTGCTTAATCCCTGCTTTTCCTCCTCCAGATTTTTCAGAAGCACACAGGTTTGCTCCTCACTCTTCTGAGCACGTTTCTTAGAGTCCTACGTGAGTGCACCAAATAGGTCAAATAAAAAAATAAGTGAGAATTAACAAGTAAACATTTTTTTCCTAGCTTTGCACTCACAGTAACACTAGGTAGTTGACATATAAAGTCACCTGTTAGCTTTTGTTGGTCTCCTTTCATGCAGGTAGAAGGGTCAGATTTTACTTGAATGACAGCTTTGATGAGAACACATTCACAAGAGCCCATTAATTGATCAAGCTGCCTTTGATGCTGTCCCCAGCTATTCTTGAGACCCGCAAAGATACAATCTTTCAGGCACTGGTCTTATCAATTAATAATGCAAGTCCCATCAGAATCTAATTAGGAGAAGCCACATCTTCACACTCCTACTTCTTTGCTCCATTTCCATCATTAACTATTTATTTGGAAAGTTATGAGGGTAAGACTCATAGCTTTTAAGATGCTTTCTCAGAATTTTGCACACAGCATAAAACCACAAGACTTTAAAGTGCCTCAAGGCTTTAGGCATTTTCCCTGTAAGCTTGACATTTAGCACACATCACAAAGCAGCTGCAACTTCATTGACTGGGGTCAGAGTTCTGTCACTATCGGGCTATCGCCCTACCAAAAACAAAGTCAACAAATCAGCTACATTAACTATTTTAATAAACACTTGCCAATACTAGTTAAATGATAATAAATTTTGTTGAAAATTATTTAGGTAGTGTTCAAAATCACTTAATTGCAATAAAGACAACTCCTATTAAGGTTCTAAGATGAAATTAAATGTTCTGTTGAAATGTACAAGTCCAAGAATTTTAATTCCAAATGCGTACTTCTGAATTTAATGGGCTGGAAGAATAAGTTACCTTATGTTCTTTGCTTGTATTCTTGAGCTTTACCTCAAAATCGGTAATTTCTTTCTGCAGCCTTTCATTTTCTTCATCTACAGCAACTTTCCGTTGAACTAAGTTGTTTATTTCCTTCTGTTGGCCTGCAACCTGCTATTTGAGGACATTAAGAAAAGGAATAGTATCGCCTTCAAAATGAGATGAGACTTCCCTAAAAACAGGTCATAACATTACTCAAAAATTAATTATTCAACAAGCTTTTTTAAATCAGATTTGCCCTTGGTAACAGAAAGTAGACAGTGCATCGCTGACACCATCAAATGTAAATTGATATGGCAAAGAACACAGTTTGTGAGGCACATGCAAAAGGGGTTAAAAAAGAAACTCATACTATGCAAGATAGAAGATTTATTTATTCTTCCGTTGAAAAGCTCTATGTGATAATTTGGGTGAACTCTGCACACTGGAGGAGTCTAACGATACATAAAAATGTATTAGTGCATCATTAGTAAACACATTCATCACTTTACTAGTGTGTCTAAGACATACTGAATTATTAGGATACGCAGATCATAACCTACAGGGCTGCCACTAAGTTTCTCTGATGATTAGTTAACTGTATCTGTGTCTGATCAGTGCAGATCTGTGCTCCAATTTCAAACATTTTAAAATCTTATTAAAGTGAAGGGCTCCAACTATTTCGACAGATGATTCTATGCTATATTTGTTTTACCAATAAGACCAAAGGGGGAAATGTACTGTTCATTTTAAAATATTTGAATATATAAATGGAGGAATTTGGTAAAACTGTACAAGTAATCTACAATGAAAATCTACACATATTTTGTTACATTTAGTTAAGATTCTTAAATTGTGGTGTCCATAGTTGATGCATGGTATTTATGCATTGAATAAATGAACCACACAAACCGATCTGTAAAAGAGTTATGCAGCTTCATCCTCAAAGACTAGATATTGAGCATCTAAACATTGCAGCATAAAACACTGTAAATTCCTGATAGCCCCTTTCCCTTGGAGTAACAAGTTAAGAGTTATCAGGAGTGGTGATTTAGGCATATGTATAATACATAAATAAATGCAGACGGGGTATTGACAGCATGATGACTTAAGTGGTAGTGACAAGTTAAGACAGTGTAGAGTTCCATGTATTTTAAGGCATATTGCCTCCATTGAATTTTAATAAGAAAGGTTATAAATGGAACGGGTGCTTTGAGGCTCCCATATAAGTTTTCTCTGCTTTCCTACAGAATCTAGTGACATGCCTGGCAATGGAATGTCAGTATGGAGTCAGCTCTCAGTGGCGGTCTTGGTGTTCAGTTCCTGAGCCAGGCAGGTCCGCAGTACTCCAAGGCACTACTGATTACAGGACAGCCAGCCTGGCTCACCAGCAGGACCTGGAAGATCAGACAAGTCACTGGGGCCAGAGAGTCATCCCGCTCATCTCCTGCAAGTCAAAGCCCCAACGGGTAAGCTAGTCCTAGCTGGACAAGCAGCGGGAAAGCTTGCCAGACAGCAATATCAATGGCAAGCTATGAGGTTTTAGCTGGTTAGACTCCAGCAGTACTCCAACGTACATTCTGCGGGTCCCCAAGCATTGGCTCTTCGCAACCTGCACCTAATACTTTCCGGAATTAGGTAAGCGGGATGCATCCCTCCAGGGAGAGAGTGCACATTCCATTCCAACAATCTATCTCTGGGATTTCCATGTGTAGGTGAGATGCATGGAAATCTCAGCTTGGTTTGGATACTCTTAAGCATTGTGATGGGTTTCCACATGTATCAGACACCCGGCTGATCAAAAAAATACAGCAAAATATTCAGCCAAATTCACTTCACGGTATATTCTGTGAAGCGCATTGAGACATCTCAAAGACATGAGGTGCTGTATCGAATGCAATGAATATTATTATTACAGGTCCAGTATTGGAGGGTAATTTTAGGATAATCGCCATAAAGTATTTCTTTACACAATTAATCAACAGCTGGAATAGTTTACCATCACTTTTTCCGTGCATGACAGACTCCAGATTTTTTTTTACAGAGGGTAATTAATGGCTGCATTGAGTTGGTGGCATACCAGATAGGGCGGTTGGAATCATTTAAGAAACAGCTAGCTGCAGTGATGGGAAGATGGTTGGATAGGTATTCTGGAAGGATGAGATCAAATATATCAAAGGACTTCATCTGATCTTCTCGTGATTTTGTGAATTATGCAAAATGGCTGTCAAGCATCAATTTATAAATTAGAAAAAAATAATGTACAAAATTGGTACAGTATCTGAATTTTTTTCAGACATTTGAAAAATAGAAATACTAAATGATGTTATTGTAAGTGGTTTTGTTTGCTCTCAGATATCTTTATTGTGTTTTTGATTTCTGTTTCATTTACATAGACATCCTATGTCCTACACATCATACATCATTGGTGTTGGTACGTTGAGCAAATGACATACTTAGAAGTTGGTACATTGACTCCAACTTCATTAAAGCTCTTACAACCCACAATCATTGGGCTGCAAATTGTACACTGGCATGACCTTGAGACTGCAACAGCCAAACTGACTGTACACTGGAAATTGGGGTACAATCCACGATTTTCATGGTATTGTAATTTTCAGCACTCTGATTTGAAATGAACAACTGTAAAACATTTGACCAGTTGGAAGAGCTGATTGTAGTAGTTTTGTTGAATGTCAATAATTACGAACAGAAAAAAATCCACTTATTTTCACTCAATGTCAGAATCAAACACTTGCAAGTCAGGTACAGCAGTCAGATAAAATAAATAAAACTCCCTCTACACTGTTCAAAAGTGCCTTAACCTTAACCTCAGAAGAACAGTTCCTGCTGTGCCAGTCACATCTCCACTGCACATGTCAACAGTTCTTATGACATCTCTGAGCCAATTTCGTTCTACTTGGTAACAGTTTTATGCTATGGACCTGCATCCCACTAGGAACGGTGTCAAACATATTTTACGGAAAACCCTTAGAGAAAGCAGAGAGCAACTCTTATCCTATCAATCTGGGTTCCCAGTTCACCTGGCTAGCACCCTGCACTATGGACCTTGGTCCTTCATCCAAGTTACTCAATTTTAAAAAGACCTCAGGGGTACAAGAAAAATATATAATCCGCTATTCATCTCTGTACCCTATTAAAGTTACTTACTGCACTACCATCAAGTTAAAGCAGGTTTTATGCTTTCTGAATATCTGGGAAAGGAGAAGAATTAGTATCTCATAACTAATATATGAAAAATACTATTGTTTAAAAAGAACCATTAAAAACACACAAACTGTCATTTAAAAATGTTAGAATACCTTGTAAAGTGAGTTGGAATACGGCAGATTTTAAGAGAATTACAGATGAAATTCATACATGCTGTCTAAATACACAAAGATTATAAAATATCTCTAATGAGTATCTTAATAATTAGATTTTCTCAAACTGAAGTTAGTTTAAAATACAGTGGAACCCATTATAATGTGGTGGTGGTTGGGTCCATAAATTCTCAACCAGCACTATAATGAGGTGCACCAATTGGTTTCACTGCTTGCTCCTTACACGCAGCCAGTTCATGTGCTAAAATAATTAGCCGAGGTCCAGGTCACCAGCAAAATCACCTCCTCTTTGCTGCACATGCACAATGCAGGAGGTGACATTGGTGACCTAATGAGCCAGAATCTCGCCTTTTTTATACCTCCAGGTCATCAGGTTTCAACCAATATCACTTCCTGTTTTGCACACGCACTTCTTGCTTTGAACATGTGCAGTAAAGCAGGAAGAGATTTGGAACCTAATGACTTGAAGTCAGTCATCTTAGTGTGAAAGACAACTAGAATGCAGGAAGTGAGAGGGCTAAGCTACATACATGCCCAGTGAATCATATCCACAGTGCTAATTTGAGTTATAAAGAAGTGTGTTATATCGAGGCTGCAGTGTACTTTACAAGTCTAAGATAACATAACAAAATTGTATCTATATAAAGCAAGAATCCAACAAATTAATAAAGATTAAATGGATTTTTTTTAAAAAATGTGAATCTGAATAGAAAAAACAAGTTAGTTTCAATGGCCTAAAACTTCTTATGGATCATGTTTTAGATATGGAAATGGAGCTAAATGACTTGGCAGATTAGTGATAATAATCCAAGTATTTAATATAGCACCTTATCACGTTGTTGAAATATCTCAAAGCGCTTCAAAGAATAAACTGTAGTGGATTGACTGTGTATTTTGTGAGCAAAACAATGATGAGATGGAATGTATAGAAAAGAGGGTTTCTAACAATAGAGAGAGGGACAAGTGAAAGTGGAGGTAAGCAAACTGAGCTGGGCACAATCAACAGCACTCTTGATCAGAGGAAAAATACCATTTTACATAATATAGTGCAGAAAGTGTGGTCAGCAGATAACATAAATGCAATGAATTATACTAGTAGAAATTATGTCAATAGTTGCATCTTTTCAATGCACAGGATCGCATTCTAACAATGATTTTCACTTTGCCACTTTCTTTTCCATCTTGATCTTTTAAGTAACTGTGAAAACACAGTTGTATTTTTGAGCTCTTGGAAACACCTGTAAAAGATTTAAAGGTACTGTTCAGAGACATAATTAATTGCCATGGAAAAGAATTACTTAAAGGCTTTGTGAACAGTGGATTTATCCCTCTTTGCTTCAATTTTTATATGGAAACCTAGTGGGGGTTTAATACAAATTGACAATGTGAGTCGAAGAAGATTTAGAAATGCAGATAATGAGGTAGACAAGTAAGATTTTATAAACCCAGTAGGGTTTTCTAGGTTGGTAAGGATTAAAAAGTTAAGAGGTGCAGGAAAAAAAGCTTAGCATTTGGAAATCAGTGCGCACATCAACATGAAACTAATTAGATTTTTAAAAATCTGAGATGAAATCGCAAAAGTCATGTCAGAATAAAAGTCATATCTTTCAATAACAAATCTATAAGTTACCCTTTGACACAAGTAAAAGAAACACTGCCTTTAAACATGAATTAGATTTAGAATAATGATGGGTACAATGGTTAAAAATAGTAACCCGAGCAAACAAACTTGACTTGAATGTCCTCCAACTAGTTGTCAGGATTCAACATCATCGGCAAAATATCACATAGGATCACGGCAACATTTCATAGCAAACATGGAACTGATAATGACATCTGAAAAGCACTGAGAATGTTCATGAATTTTCTCCCAAAAATGAACTTAAATACAAAGTGAATTGATGAATACTAAAATAATTACTCTGGTCTCTAAACTCCACACCAAGAATCAAGAGTTCACAAACAGAAAACATCCTCACAAGCATCCATGAAAACAAAATACTGCGCTAATACTGTTGGCAACAAAGGAACAGAAAAGCTCAGGGCACATGCCGAACTTCAAAATTGACATTAACTTTTGGTGATTGAATGTTATTAAACAATAAATCCACACCAACAATTTAACATTACAAGAGAGCCCAATTAAAGCTCCTTGGCATTCAAAGGATACGCTAAAAGCTTTCAAAGAATTTGCTCCTCCATGGTTCTATTTGATCCGCACCATCCACATTTGTACATAAGTGGGTATAAATCACAGTTCCTGAAACCACCTCCACGTAGAGTCAGAAACAGTGTTCCAGCATGATTCCACAAGTTCAACCTTGATTTAGTTTGTACATGTGGTGTCAAATTGCTGCCAAAATCAATGCAATTCATGTAGTATAAACACAGCATTGTGTACTTTCTAATAGTTGGCTACAGAGCTGCATTGGAAAGCTCTACAAACTTTGCTTGCGGTGTATACAGCAAGATAACTCATGTAGAAACACATAATACACTGAAAATAGTACACTTTGTTTTCACAGCATTTAAGCAATGCATATCAGAATACTTTTGCAAACAGTTTGAATTTCTACCTTTGTTACAATGAGTATCAATGATGTAAAGTTTATGGTCATGAAATGAACAGAATTTCAGAGATACTGTATTTAACTCCAGAAAAGTGCCATTTGGAAATGAGATCAAGACATCTCATCTCAATGAGGTAATCAATTGCTTTTGTACAATTAAACAGATTGCATTTATATAGTGCAAAGGACACGTCTTGGAGAAAACAAATGGATAGCAAAATTAATTATGAATAAACTAACAGTAACTTTTTTTATTCAACCTTACAGCACAATTCTTCAAAGATATTTGCTTGGTCTCTCACCAAGTTCATACTGCACTGTAACATGCAATTTGGATGGATCCCAAGTTGAATGCTATATTGAGGAAAGGTCTGAACGAATGAAAATGTGAACCAAAATGCACACACTGCCAAGACATGAAACATTTGTCAATGTTGAAATCCTTTATATTCAGAAAGTTAAGGTGGATCAAGATCCCAACGCATACTGTAACAGGCTGGTTTCACTCCATATGCAGGCGCTTGGCCAGCTTGCTCCTAAAGCAGTTGTTTAATTCATAGAAGAAAATGTTATATCAGATTCCAGTAACCTCTGGTTTAGAGCTGTAATTTCTCACCAATTAAAATATACAGTACAGTAGAACCTCACTAATATGGTCACTCAATTGACAGAGCAAAAGTGACCTACTTAGTAAGGTGACCTGATAACTGAAACAGGTCAGGTGAATCAGATCACTGATGTAATGTTAAGGGCAATGCTAATGGGCAAGGATGATGAACATTCAAGAACCATACTTTGCAATCTCATGAAAATAAAGGCATTGTCAGATTTAAAACAAAAGCTGTCATGTATTCAGCCTATCTTTACAGAATGTATCCAACTTGTCTTCTGCCAGTGCCATAGATCACAGTTAACTGTCTATGACTTTTGCTCTTACTGTTTTTGATTAAGTCCACTCTCTCACGTAAGGACAACTCCTTCCGTGGTGGCATGTTTACAACACTTGTCAACAGTCACTAAATCAAAACCAACAGCGTACACAGAAACCATGTGCTCTGAATACAGCATTTACCAAGAATTGGCCACAGGAGATCAGTTTAGGCCACGGACGTCGGGCAAAGTCGATTTTCCGCTCACGCCGCTTCCACGATCCCAACGCTCCCCCCATCACGCAAGCGCATCCAGACCCTGCCCAGCGTCAAACAAACAGAGCAAGGAGCCCGATGCCTAGTGCACTCTGTACTGTACAAGTTAGTAGCGGAGTGGGGTGTTTGTACCGGAGGAGAGCGCTGTAGCGGCCGCAATCAATGACCATTGTCCTGAATAGTGAGGTGCCCGGTTTACTGAAGCAGACGGCCTATCTTCTAACATTGACAATGAAAGCATGTCTGCAATTGTGAGGTGGCTGGATTACTGAGGTGACCGCAAACCGGGTTTCTACTGTAAATGCACAACATTATAATGCAAGTCATCATAGCACAAGTCCACATATAGTGTAGGTTGGTTGTGGACCAGAAGTTCAGTGTGCTTCCTGCTTCTGGCACTGAATGGCCTTTTTGTGGGCTGCACACATGCACTGGCAGACAACTAGTCTGTGCAGAAGCCAGAATTGCCACCAGTGGTGACTTGACAACCCGGAAGCACAAACCAATTTTTATTTTGTTGCACAGTTATAACATGGTGGATAAAGAAACATTGCATTATAATAACGTGTACTTGTATAGTACCTTTCACTTGGGAGAACATCTCAAAATGTGTTACAAAATAAATAGGAACTTGAGTTGGGAGAGGAATAAGGGGAAGGTGGATGAAGTTCTGGCTAGCATACATTTCTTTTGCTCATTTTCACTAAAGGACCAGAAATGTTGCCCAAAAAATACAGAGCTGGATGTAAACTCCTCCTTTCCGTCAACGCTGAGCAAATGAAAACATTTTACTACCGAAGTAAATGATATATTTCATGCTTGCTGTGAAAGCGGTATACAACTGTAATAAATGTTTATCACTCAGCACTTTATTCAATGCTAAACTTATAAACCACTGGAGTTATCATCTAACATTACGACAACTACAGCACAAACTTTGAAGTCTTGGAACTCTTCAAAAACTAGTTTGGAAAATATATCTAGCCTATCAACATTATTAAATGCAGAAAAAGTCAAAATAAATTTCTCTTTCATTTATCTTCCCTCTGGCAGATCAGAACTACAAAAATATTTCTATGGGCTGTGTGAGTCCACTTATGTAGATATTAGTGGTCCCAACGGTTCAGTTTAAATGCATTCTTAATGTCATTCATTGACCTGGTCATAGAATCATTAGTGTGGGATTTTTAATTTGCTGAAAAACAAGCCTGTGATATCAGTTTTCAGCCTCAATTGAAAAGTGTGTCTTCTCATTTTCAGAATTCTTTGTCAATTGGGTGTCTGATGCATGTGGACACAGTTCTATATATGTATGTCACCTATGCATGGAAATGTCATTGTTTCTGGAACAGAATATACACCAAACTTAAAATAACTAGAGCAAATACAGAATAGAGTTGAACAAACACGAGAGGAGCACACATAAAATATTATGTCAATCGTCCAGGATAATTGCATACCCAAGTTCAGCAAAAAGTACTTAGAAAAGGAACAATAAATTGACTAATGTAGTGTCTTTCACATTGGGAGACTCAATGCACTTTACATAGGTGCAATTGGAGCCTGAGCAGGGAGGCAAAGGAGGGTGGATAGGTGCTCAGTTAACAATTTACATTGAAACCTGTTAAAGCAACCACATCTATTCAGCTACCACCTGCTGTCAACAGACCCGAGTGATTTTCTATAATAAACCACCTTTATGCAGCAATCACTTGTCTATTGCAACCAGGAGCCACTTTGTTTTAGCCCCGTCAATGTAGACATACCCTCTTCAATGGCCAGTTCCAAGTGAATTTAAATGTACTTGCTTAAATGCATTACCAATTTCCGCAGGCTCATATGTAGAGTCCCGCGAGACTCCTAGCAGATTTACTAATGCTGTGCTGAGCAGCCCACACGATGCCTTCACTTGTGAGGTGGCGTTGGTATATGCGCTAGGAGTGTAGAGTGAGTCTACACGCAGCCAATGGAAGTTTTGGCCCCCAGGAATTTTTAAAAAATTCGGACTCAGTCAACGAATCAATAAACCCTTACTCAGAAACCAGCCTTAAATAAAGGCCAAAACAGAGAGAGCTGGGAAAACTCAGCAGGTCAGGCACCATCTATGGAGAAAAGAAAGTGAGTCAACGTTTTGGGTCCATGACCCTTCATCAGAATATTATTAGAATATGCACAAAACAGTTGCACAAATCACTACTGGAAACTTGTCCCTGTTCGGGCCCAAAGTCATTCCCAGGCTTTAAAGACAACCGTGTTTTTCCTGTCAAACTGAAATAACCAAAAATGCCAACAGTATAAGATCCAAAATGGTAACATCAAGCACTCGGTACTGACATTTTAATGGGTATCTGTCAAGTTTGCATGGGCCTCTGGAGTCCAAACTATAATAGGAACATACATTCATTTTGCATATCCTCATGGAAAACATTCTGCAATGTGGGCACTCTCATTCGCTAAATCCTTATTCATGTAAAATCAAAGTATGTTTTCTTTAAAAAATTGCATGTGCATGGGCTTGCACACACTACAACTTAAATATTCAAACCTTTTCAAGTTCTTGTATTTTGTTGTCTTTGACTTGTAGAATTTCTAAAATCTTCCTGTCCTTAACTTCAGCTTTCTGCTTCTCCCTTGAGGCGGTGGGTGTGGGGGGGGGTAGCGAGAAAAAAAAGTCGGCAATTAGTCATAATCTAAAATTGTTAATCATTTGAACATTTCATCTTCTAATGATCAGTGTAATTTTTTCAGCTTTTAAAATTAAATTCTGCATCAGTATGCTTTAGAATTAATCAAAGCTCTTATGTATGATAAGTCACATAAACTACCTCTTCAGAGAATAATAAGAACTTTATCAGTGAAAGATGGTGTTTGGGGAGGCAATAATGAGGAAAGAGGAATGATGAAGTTAGTTTCATGTATTTTATTTTCCATACACCACTTATTCATCCCAATGATGGAGCGCATCAGCACATCAGAGTTTCAACTCTATCATAACTGACAGTGATCGATGGCTGAGGCAAAGTTCTGATGAGCTGATTAGTCAATGCTCGAGGAGAGTATGTGTGAAATCCTAAAGGAATAATACATTTCTCTTTAGTTAACAAAACACTAAGTACTCGCCTAAGATAACTATTTTACTCATTTAATGTTTCACATTTAGCATTTTAGTTACAAAATAAAAATCACAGCAATGAAACTATGAAGTTTTATTGCAGAAATTATTTTTGAAATGTTTCTGCAAATTTTCCCATCGAATCTTCATAAAACACAATCAGTAATTAGTACCAGTTATTTTATAAATAATGTTATTAGCTTGAAAATATGGTCTGAAAATCCCTTTCACTCAAGAAAACATTGGATCGATGATTGAAAAACGATCACCTCAATCATTATAACATTTCAAGAGAGGATTCACAACACAAATCCAACTGGTTTTAACATACATTATCATTCAATTCTCTTAGTAAATTCATACCATAGATACAGCATACAGTAGACCAGGGTGGTCAAACCTTTTGGTTGCTGAGTCGGATGTCAGGTTTGAGAAATGTCCGCAGGCCGCATAAGCAATATTTTTGTGTTTTCCTTCCAGAAACATAACATTTACACAGCACCGTTTTTATATTGGATGGATGTTTCAGAGTGCTTGAAACATCCTGCTGGGCACCCAAGCTGCAGGTGATACTGAGCGATAATTCCATTAATTCATGGAACATTAAATTTGAACATTTCCATTTCAAGATATTAGCTCAGATTTCTTTAAATAAAAAAAATTGCTTTGTAGAAGAGAAATGATATGGATGAATGAACACAATTGGATGTCATTTAGTTATTAACTGCAGTTACACTGAAGCCATTTTAGTACATAAAGTCTACAGATACTTGGATAAATGTCCAATAAACTATTGAAAGTTTTAGGTCATCAAAAACGCCTGTGGTCAACGATCATCCAACCAAGAAGTCTGGAAAAATTTCTTGCTGACACAAATGTTCACATTTTATCACCTCTTCAGGGTGTGAGAATGAAGGGAGAGGGAAGAGAAACGACAGAATGAAACCACTTTCATTCAATTCTGCATTTACAAAGATGGCCGAATTGAGATTGGCACCTCATGCTTCGCTTTAGAAGGGAAAAAAAGGTATTTTTCTGTAAAAATGGCACAAAATTTGTAAAATCCCCACCTTCAACCACTGAAATTATTCTTAATTTCAATCATCAAAAGCAAACAGTTACTTCCGATGAAAAATAATGCTGAAAATACTGTGCAGATTAAAATAAACTGTTTCATTATTAAGAGCCCACAGGTGGTGATAGGAATGCATTGGTGGTACATATGCTGTTAGTCAAGGCACATATGTTTTCTAGTTTTACTACCAAGGCCCTAGTCATTACAATTTTACATTCAACCCACATTTAGTGCAAAAATAGCTGGAAATAGCGATTATGTGGTTTCTCAAACTAGATGCAGACAGGTTTCCAACAGTCACACAGCATTTCTAATGTTTATGACTAATTCAAGGGGAACAGTGATGCATATTTACTAACAAAAATGTTAAATATTAACTGATTTTCTTAAAAATTAACATTCTTTTCTGATTGCCTCCCATAAATCAGAAAAGACAGGTAATGTGGTCATCTCCTTGTCTCCACAACCTTATCCTCTATTTGGAAAAAGTTTGCTAAGGAAAAGCTTGAAAGTTCATCACTGCAACTGATGCATTCTACTGATCCTCTTTTCATATAGAAATTAATAAGTAAATCAAAGAGATCAAAATAAACTTAATAAAGGTAATGGGTTATTTTGTATTTTACACATTGGAACCTAGATTACCCACTAATTTCAATTATTCACAAGGGGCCTCCATTCAGGCAAATAATTGAGGGTGCACTGTATTTAACAGGTGTCACCGGGAAAGTAAATTTAACAGTATGGTACATCAGGGAAATCTGTGAAATGTATTAAGCATGTGGGAGAGAGTTAACCTTTAGCAATCTCAAATTGAAACATGTGCAAACTTTGAACTGTTGTGAACACAAGCCAGATATCACAGCACTTACAACAGGTTCCAACACTAAATACAGTATATATACTCTCATTTTGCAAATATTCAATTAACACAATTTTCATTCATGTGTGCTTCCTTGCTTTCTAAAGTTGTCTTGAATTTCTTCAATCAAAGCTGCACATTTTAATTGTTTCCCCTCCAAATGACTGTAGGGCAAATCTGTTAACAAAATAATAATAATCTGCACCATTTGATATTTATTGCTTCTTTAAAATGTTTGCTCAACCAGATCAAGCTTGCACTTTAAATTTGGATAATTCAAATATTTATAGGTTATTAGAGGTTTCACATGACTTTTTAAAATTGTATTTTTATCATGGAGGAGAGACATATCTACCGATACATGGTTACTCAGGGACAAATGCTCCAAGACACTATTCTGTGTGAAGGGTGCTATATAAATGTAAGTTGTTGTTGTTAAATTATCATAAAGAAGGAATAATAATAATCCTTGCATTTAATATAGCAGCTTATCATGTCACCAAGACTTCTCCAAGTGCTTCGCAAAATATACTGTAAAGTAGTTTTGACTCTGTGTTTTGTGGACAAAATGTAGCAGCCGGTTTGCACATAGCAAAGTCCCACAAACATCTGTGAAGTGAATGACCAACTTTATTTGGAATGGAATATTACAGCATAGTTATAGAGCGAGAGGCGAAAGAGGAAAGTCACTGGTAATGTCTTTACATTTTTGTTTGTACAAATAACCTGATGTGCTAAGTTTCACTTAATTATGTCATAGCTAATTTACCCACATGTTCAGTTAGCTCAGTTTGTATCATCCTTGCCTCTAACTCAGAAGGATGACGGTTCAAGCTCCACATCGGAACTTAGAATTTACACTCTATAGCTGTTTGAGTGGCAGTGTTGAACTCTGAATGATTGCCGTATACTCTCACAAAATACAATCAACCCACTTGATATTCTGTGAAGTGCCTCGAGGGATTCTCCTGACTGGAAAGGTGTATAATAATATTTTTCGTATTTGGTATAGCGCCTTTCACATCAGGAGGACATCCCAAAGTGCTTCACAGCATTTACTGCGAGTGGAGTGACTGTGTATTTGTGGGTAAATGGAGGGATTATCATGATCATCATGTGATACTAATTAAGAATGTCACTCCCTCATGCAAAGTGCACAGCAATACAGTTAGGAATTTTCTTCAGGCACGGCAGTTGTGTGATGCCAAGGCAGAGCTGGCAGACATCCATATTATATTTTCAACATTCGCCCACAAAGCACATAGTCTATCCTGTGAAGCGCTTGGGGCATCCTCCCGACATAAAATGCAGCCAACCAAATGCAAGGAATATTATTATCATTATTATTCTGAGGTTTTCACATGAGCATTGGATGCAAAAGTAGACACACGGTCCATTGCCACTGATGACATCCCTACCAGCCATCATTTTCAGGAGCGAAAGATAGTAAAGGGAAGAAAATAAGAAAACAAAAGCACAATAAGAGGGGTTTACTACGTGAAAACTAAACATCTTTATGTAATAAACAATTTGCAAAAGATATTTAATTGTCGAGTTCAAGGTAGCTACCAGATATTTGCACACTAAAAACTAAAAACCAGATGTTTGCACACTGATCTCCCAAAGCTAAATTTATAACCTGTATAAAACTATGACAATAATGTTCAGCTCATGAAACACAAGCTAAAGTACCACTGATCTGGCATACATCCTCCTTTGCAGGTAAGTTGTGAGGACATGCAGAATCTTCATTATTTCTCATTCTTTGCTCTTTACTCGTGCATATTTAACAATTTGACGTCCAACCTTGCTCTGATTGGCGGACTAGGTTGGCAGTCAGTGTCAGGGGGCAAGATGAGGCTTAATGATTGGCATTCTGGGCTGCCAGTCAGGAAGCTCACATGCAGTTCCTGATACATACCATCCACCTAGTGCAGGATTCAAACTCAAACAAAGCTTAACCAAAACAAAATGTATTTGGGTACAAAATACAATGGAGTCCTGTAGCTCAGTGGTTAGAGCACTCACTTTGCAAGTGAGAGACCTGAGTTCAATTCCAGGCAGAGGGCGAAACCTTGGGCAAGTTTCCTTGCTCCACACAGAGCCTAATAATAATCCCTCAAAAACCAAAAACAATAATAAATTGGTCATTTTCAATCTACGACTGTTTGTGGGACATTGCTGTGCACAATTGGCTCCCGTGTTCGCCCACAAATATACAGTCAATTCACTTTACAGTATATTCTGTGAAGCGCTTTGGGACGTCCTCCCGACATGAAAAGCGCTATATCAAATGCAAGGATTATTATTATTATTAAAATGGGATGAAGGGCAACTTAGAAATACAAATCAAAAGAAATAGCATGGATCTTCTACTACAGCGCTGAACTTACTGCCCATGAGAGAATGGCTTTTTATGACAACACGTTCAACAACAACTTGCATTTATATAGCTCCCCTCATGTAGAGTAGCATCTCAAGCACGCCTGACAGTGGAGGAGCACAACGCTGAGCTAGGGGGATGGGGAGGTCTTCAGGTGCGACCTGAAGATGAGGAAGGAAGGGGCAAAGCAGAGGGATA